AGGGAGAGCAGGGGTACAATCTAACCCACAAAACCTGCTCGATAAGGCATTGCCATGGGCTTGGTGCTCCAAGCCAGAACATTAAAACCAGGCAGTGCTCCACTTTAAAAAGTCTTGAGACAAACAGTACTGGGAATACTAAAAGCACCCTGCCGAAGTCAGGTAACAGAACACCAGAATTAAAGAAATCAGGTAGGGGCTGTCAGGTGGCATGGTGGTTAAGGCACTGGACTTACACATAGCCAACTGCAGTTCGAGTCCTGGACCTGGTGTCTTGCTTTCTTACTTCCCGTCTCTGACCAATTAAAAAAATAATAATAATAAAATTATGTTATTATTTTTTGGAGAGGTTTTTGCTATAGGGCACGTGCACTCACCAGAAAGACAGAGAGACAGAAAGCGAGAAATAACCCCCCAAGGGGGATGGCCATGCCGCAATCCCTTCTCCTCCATTCTCTCAGGATCTTGGGCACGTATTCACGTGCACCCGGTGTGAGTTTAAGCCACTGGGTCCAGGACGTGAACCACGGTCAACTACATGGAAGTCCAGTGACATAGCCATTACACTAACTGCTGGTCCCATTATTGTTATATTTTTTTAAAGAGCAATTAGGTATATGTAGTAAACATGCTCAACATATTCATTATCTAGGGAAATCATGGCTACTTGGGAGACCTCTCAAATGAGTTAGGGAATCTACAAAGCAGCACTTCACACCTCAAACCCTGTATCTGGTAGGGACAGCCAGCAGGTACCGACAGGCTGGTAGTCCTCTCTGTTCTGTCCAGGATAAGAATGATGTTGAGGGCAGAAACGGGACACTGGGTAAGCAAAGATGAGAGAACGAAAAGAAAGACTGGGTCATGCCCACGGTCCTTAACCACCACGCCACCTGCCAGGCCCAAGTTCTCATTCTTGACCATGCAAAAATCCAGAGACGGGGCCAGTGGACGACACAGCAGTTATGTCATGGACTCCCACATGGCAAACCGCGGCTCAAGTCCCAGACCCAGTTGGTTAAAACTCATGCCAGACACGTGTTGCGTGTGCCAAAAATCCAGGGAGGAACCGGCAGGTGGCATGGTGGTTAAGGATGCTGGCCTCCCACATGCGTGACTGTAGTTCAAGCCCCAGACCTGGCAGCTTGCTTTTTCACTCCCTCCACACCCCTCATCCCTCTCTGGTCAAATTTAAATAAATAAATAAATAACGTTAAATTAAAAAATAATTCTTCAGGCCAGTAGGTGGCATGGTGTTTAAGTGCGCTAGACTCCCATATGGCTGACCATGGTTCAAGTCCTGGACCTGGTGGCTTGCTTTCTCTCTCTTTCTCTCTGTGTCCCTCTCTGGTCAAGTTTAAATAAATAAATACATAAATACATAAAGATAAGTAAAATAATAATAAAAAAATTCTTTAAAAAAAAATCCAGGGAGGAGAGGTGATTTCTCATTTTTCCTCTCACAGTCTCTGTCCCTTTCCCTCCGAGGGCATGCACTCTAATGCAAAAAGAAAAAAGAAAAAAGAAAAAAAGAAATTCACTGACACATATACTTAAGATTGACACATTTTACTTATCTAACCAATAACTCCATCAGAATCCAAAACAAACAAATCACAAGCTCCCTCTGTTTGCTATCCTTTATTAAGGGGTCCCACATCCTCATGGGACTCCAGCCAAACCAGACAAGTCCCCCAAATATAGCAGGAGGCCTGGAAGGGGAGGGAATGACTTAGGATCCCACCACACCTCCCTTGAAACAGAAACCCATCACAGACAGACAGACAAGGGCAGGGGCTGGGGAAGAGAGCTTGCCTCATTCGATTCTCTCCTCCTTGCCCCCTACTCAAAAAGAAAGTCAAACACTGGCTACACGGCGCCCCAGCCCCCCACCCCTCCCATAGCAGCGTTTGTGGGACCCCTTTCTGCAAGGGGTGGCCCCAAGGCAGCTTTCGATCCCTCTTCCTTCACTTTGGTTTGCTCCTGGCAACTCCGTGCCTCTTCCTTCCCTCAGCCTCCGGCTCATCCACCCTGCGCCCTCTGTCACCTACTCGAACCTTCTCTCACCTCGGGGCCTCCCTGCCCCAGGGCTTCCAGGGAAGCAGCATGTCGGGCATCCTCCTTCCTCCCAGCACAGGGCCTGGCAGGCCCTGTCCAGGACGTGGACTCACACGGCCGCCCCGCTCTCTTTGAGGTCAGGGGCTGAGCGCTGCCGTCTCATGCGTGGGGGAGTAGTGTACGGGGGGTAGCGGGGCCCTGGGGGCCGCTGCGCTGGGTATGGTTGAGGCTGCTGGGGATAATAGTTGTGCTTTTTGGGCTGAAAGTGTTGGGGTTCAGGCTGCACAGAACCCCCTCCCCGGGATCGGCCCCCTCCATCCAGGGAGTTCCTGCGGGGACGGTGGGACCGGCGAGGACTTGGAGGCCTGCGGGCAGGGGTGGCTGGAGGGGGAGAGACCTCCTCAGGGGGTTGGGGTGGAGCTGGGGCCTCCCCGCTCCCCATGCCTGGCCAGGACTCCCGGTGCTGGGGGTTGCTCTTGAAGGGGAAACGCAGCTTGCAATCGTGAGGGGGCACAAAGCGGGCTGGGGGTCTGCGCAGCCCCCCACCCCGGCCCCCGGAGCCCTGCAGTCCTTGCAGCCGCAGCTGCTCCTGCTTGAGCCAGCGAAGGCGCCCACGACGGAAGGCAGGGTCCTCTTCCATCAGCCGTGACACCCGCTCCAAGCTTGACAGGGGTGGCGAAGGGGGCCGGGCTGAGGGTGCACGGTCACTGGGGGCTGCCTCCTCTACCGCCTCTGATCCCTCAGGTGTGGCCCAGGGAGCCTCGCCAGCTTCTTCATTCTCATCCTCATGATCCTAGGGGGGGAAGAAGGTGAGAGAAAAGGAGAAGGGATGTGAGGGCTGAGTCATGGATCCTGGATCCGCAGGACATCCAGGGGTCCAAGAAGAGCGTGGAGGGAGGGAGCTGGGAAGCAGCAGTTTAGGACAATGAGCTCAACAGCCAAGTGGCCCAAGTTCATCCCTGGTCTGCCACTTCCTTGCTGTGGGCTTGGATCTTTGGCTCATAGCCTCATCTGTACAATGACGTCAGTGACCGCGGTACCTGGTCCATGGGTGCTGTGAGAATGACATGAGTTACAGGCACGCCGGCTCTACTGTGCTTTGCCTTGCTGATGCTCCACTTTTCACAAACTGAAGGTGTGTGGCAACCCTGTGATGAGATCAGTGCCATTTTTCCTGTAGCAAGTGCTCCATTCACGTCTGTGTCACATTTTAATAATTTTTTTTTTGGAGAGGTTTTTGCTATAGGGCGCATGCACTCGCCAGACAGAGAGAGACAAAGAGACAGAAAGCGAGAAATCACCCCCCAAGGGGGATGGCCACGCCGCAATCCCTTCTCCTCTCGGGATCTTGGGCATGCACACA